AGTGGTATACCAGCAGTTAAACTTCCTGCTCACCCTGGAATGCGGCTTTGGGTCATAGGTCAAATACAAGATGACCAGCAAGAGGGTGAAATGCAAGGTGACATGAAACACAGGAAAAAAATTTATGACTGTTTTGGAGGTAGTCTGTATGGTGTCAGAAAGCATGGAATTTTCGGGGAGAGGGGCGGTTTCCCAGCTACTTTTCTGGTACTGTCCTGTACAAAAGGAAAAAGTGAGGTCCTTAATTTAGAAAGGAAAGTGTGGGGTCCTGTGTAGCTGACACATTTAGGAAGCCTGGACTGAAGGCCTCCAGTTTGAGTTGCACAAATCCTCACCTGAGTGTCCCTTGCAGCTCTGTAACACGGGGATGACGAAGTGTGCCCTGGGGAGTTGGTATGGGGGTGAATGCAAAGCACCTGGCACGCGAGAGGGGCACCTTTCCGTTCCTTCCTCAGTCTGTGTTGTTGTAGGTTCTTTTCCTCAAGTGTTCTGTAGGCATTGGCCCTTGAATTTCTCTTTTTTCTTTCAAAATGGTATTCAAGTGAATCTCAGAAAATGGCCCATATGTATCTGACCACCTAGGATCAATTATGGCTCAGTCTGACACGCCATCTAGCACGGCTCTGAGCAAATTGCTGTAGAAGCAAGCGCGCCTCCCCCTTACACCCCACTCTAGGTGCACGCGTCTCCCCCGACCCCCTAGCCCGCCTCTGCTGCCCATGATGGCAGGACAGGAGGGAGGACGGAGAGCCGGCCACAGCACAGGCCCAAGCCCGGGCAGGAAGAGGAGGAGGGCCGGGCGCTGCTTCCCTTTCAGGCCTCAGTTTCTCCCCTGCCCTGCATCACCCTCCTCCCAGTAGAAGAGCTCGGCCTGGCTCTCCAGTGTGCATTCTCGCTCCGACCTGCTCTTCAGGTTTAATTTGTGGTCACCATGCTCTGGCCCTTCTCTCAACTGCTTAGAATTTCCTAAGTAATGCAGGCATTTTTAAGGTCCTCTCGCCTGGCTACACAGCCCTTTCTTTTCTCTACCCAATGACATTCTACTAGTTCAAGAACCAGGGACCTGGGGAGATAGCTCAGGAAAATAAGGGCTTGCCTGGCAAGTGCAGGGTCCTGAGTTCAATCCCTGGTACCGCAAAAAAGAACCAGCTCACGGGTTAGTTATCCCTAGGAGAGCTCTCCACCCCTCCATCCCTCCTCCTCTCCAGGTAGTTAGACACCCTGCTCTCATCCCTGTGAAAATACTTCCCACTGCAGGCAGTGGCGTGGGTCCTCCCACTGCCACTATACCATGATGGCGGCAAACCTTGCAGAGTTTTGGGTGAGAACAGTTTGCAGTAGCCCACTGGACTAGACTTTGCCAGGGTCCTTCCAAAGCAGAAATACGTCTTTAAGTTTACTCTCAGGGCTTACCCCAGGGCCTGGCACTCAGTAGCTAACAAATAGTTTGCTATGTGAAAGACAATTTCAGCAGGAAATCTCAGCTCCCTCGGAAGCCGAGCAGCCTCAAACTACTGAAACCCAGTTTCCTCTTCTTTGAAGTAAGAGTTCACGGAACTAAATTATTGACATCCCCCCCCCACAGGCATCTCCAAGCTGCCTGAGCACAATGACAAGGACGACGGGAACTACCCGCTCGGGTCCCCCTCCTGTCCCTCTCTTGGACAGGAGCTTTCTTTCTTTCAATAAATATATTCTGCTCATAAAAACAAACAAACACCACAAGGACGAACAGTATGGGCTCAGTAGGGGATCCCAGGACTATATTAGCTCTCACGGTCTGATCCTTTGTAAGCTGTGAAGAGGCAAGTCCTTTAAAGCCAGCAAAGAGGTTTCTATTTTGATAAGAAAAAATTGTATTTAATAGCTTTTTTTTCCCTTAGGGGGGCGGTAGCTGGCTCAGCCTGCCCTGGGGGTGGGGCTGGTGCGGCATGTGGTTCTGAGGATCGAACTATGGTCCCCGTGCTTTGCCTAAACTTGCCTAAGCAGGTACTTTTAGACCACTGATCTATCTCACCAGCCCTAAAAGCATAATTTTTTTTTTTTTTTTTTTTTTTTTTTTTGGTGGAATGGGGGATTGAACTCAGGCCCTTGCACTTGCCAGGGAAGTGCTTATTCCACTGAGGCATCTTTCTGGCCCCTCTAACAGCATAATCTTTTTTTTTTTTTTTTTTTTTTTCGGAACCGGGGCTTGAACTCAGGCCCTTGCGCTTGCCAGGGAAGCGCATATTCCACTGAGCTATCTCTCCGGCCCCTTAACAGCATAATCTTGATAGGATTATTTTATAAATAGTTTTAAGAAATTGCCTGAGGTAACATTTGCTTAAAAAAGCCTCAAGTAAAAAAATTTTTTTCAGTAAATTCAATTTGTTGGTGTACCTCTTGGTATGCTTGGCACCAAATGAGTGAGAAGGATAGTATGTTATGATCTATTTTAGGAGGCATGCATAGTAAAGTTTATATATCCATAATTAAAAATAGGAAAATAAGAAAATATATTTTTAACAATTACCTCTAAGAACTTTACTTTTTTAAGAGCTTTGCATAACTATGTATAACTATAATATATTTATAACAATTTCTACAAAAATGTTATAAGAAAGCATATATATATTTAGCTTACTTTTTAAAAAAGTAAAAGGTTGACTGGGGGGGGGAGGCAGGGAGATAACTCAGTGGAATAAGTGCTTGCCCGGCAAGTGCAAGGTCCTAAGTTCGATCCCTGGTACTGTTGTAGGCAGCCGAGTTAGACAGAAATATTTTTAGGCAGGCAGGCAGGGCCAGGCCCTCGAAAGATATAACACAGAAGTCCAGATATTTTGCAACTATAGGAGGGATGGATGCTCTTGCCATGGGTCAGACCTAAAGACCAAAGATCAAACAAATACTGACCTCCCTAAAGATTGGCATCCGAGATTGATCACCCTGAGGGAGACCAAGAATCATTAATCCAATTACTACTGGATGGCTACCCCATAAAATCCTATTCTATATTCATGCCCGATTGCTAGGTGACTCACTTCCCCATTTGGTCCTGAACTTAATCAATTTCACCTGAGCAATGGTGCTTGTAATCCCATTGGTTGATCATAGCTTTGTCCCACCTCTTGTCCACCTAAGCCAGTTCCTTAGCCCCACGTGATTTTGTCCTATAAAAATAACCTAGAAGAGACAGCTTCCTGGGCAACCCGATCGGGCCCCCCTTCTGTCCCCTCTGAGAGAGAAGCTTTCTTTCCCAATAAATACTCTACTCTTAACCTCCGTTGGTTCCTAAAATTAATTCTTCAGTTTTAGAGAACACAAACTCATCCAGGTCAGGCCGGGAGATCATTTTTTCCTGTATCAGTACCACCAAAAAAAAAAAAAAAAAAAAAAAAAAAAAAAAAAAAAAAAAAAATTTGACTATAAGGAAATATACCAGTGGGAGCAGAAAACAATTACTATGAATTATTATAAAAATTATAACAAGTTCGCTAATACTTGTTACCCCAGATTGAGACTTTTTTGTTAGCATATTGTACAATATGAAGAAACTTCTAATATTTGCATTAGTGCCTGCCTAAATCCTGCCTTTATGTTTTTTTTTTTTTTTTTTTTTGTGTGTGTGTGTGTGGC